CAATAAATACAAGGACAAAAAGGATAAATTTGACTTCACCAAAATTTAAAAAGTTAAAACCAAACTTTAGTCTTCAAAAGACACTGGCAGGAACATTAACAGACAATCCAGACATTGGGAGAAAACATTTGTAAAGCATATATCTGATAAAGGACTTGTATCTAGAATACATACAGAATGCTCAAAATTTGACAATAAGAAAAAAGGCCACCAATTTTTTAAGTTTTCAAAAGATTTAAAGAGGCTCAACAAAAAAGACAAGGATGGTAAATAAGCACATGAAAAGATGCTCAATATCAATACTCATGAGGGAAATGCAAATTAAAACCACAATGAGATGCTAGTATACACCTATTAAATGCTAAAATTAAAAAGACAGACCATATCAAGTTTTGGCAGAGATGTAGAAGAACTGGAACTCCCCTCCTGCTGGTAGGAATGTCAAATGGTACAATCATTTTGGAAAACAGTTTGGCACTGTCTTAAAAAGTTAAACATACATCTACCATATGTTTCTACTACTAGGTATTTACCCAAGGGAAAGGAAATATATGTCCATACAAGGGCTTGTATGAATGTTAGGAGCAGCCTTATTCATAACAACCAAAAACTGGAAACAATCCAAATGTCCATCAACAGGAGAATGAATAAAGGAATTGTGATAAATCCATACAATGAATACTACTCAGCAAGAAAAGAACACAACTCGGTGTACACACACACACACACACACACACACACACACACACACAGAGGAATATTACTCAACCATCAAAAAGAATGAAATCTTGCCATTCGCAATGACATGGATGGAACGAAGAGGATATTATACTAAGTGAAATAAGTCAGTCAGAGAAAGACAAGTATCATATGATTTCACTCAAGTGTGGAATTTAAGAAACAAAACAGATGAACATAGGGGAAGAGAAGGAAAAATAAGATGAAACAGAGAAGGAGACAAACCATAAGAGACTCTAACTATAGGAAACAAACTGAGGGTTGCTAGAGGGGAGGTGGGGGAGGGATGGGGTAACTGGGTGATAGGCATTAAGGAGGGCATGTGATGTAATGAGCACTGGATGCTATATGCAACTGATGAATCACTAAATTACCTCTGAAACTAATAACACACTATATATTAATTAAATTTAATTTTTAAATTTTTAAATAAATAAAAAAGGACATAACTATTGATACATACAACTTGGATGAATCTCAAAAGAATTAATCTTTGAGAAAAAGCTAGATTTTAAAAAGTACATAACATATAATTCCATCTATATAAAACCCTAGAAAATGCAAACTAATCTATAGTGAAAGAAAGCAGATCAATGATTGCTTGAGGAAGGGGCATGAGGAAACTTTTGTGAGTGATGGATATGTTCACAATCTTGCTTGAGAAGATACTATACGCTTTAAAAATATATTGTTTATTATATGTCAATTATACTTTAATAAAGCTGTTTAAAAGTGAAATAAAACAACAAAAAATAATCTTGAAAAATGTAACAGGACCTATCGAACCACAAGACAGTTTAAGTCTGGATAAGAAATTAATCAGTAACTCTCTAAACTATAAGAAAAAAATATTCTCCCAAATGCAAACAACCTCCATATCAGATTTCTAAATGCAGACCAGAGTCTGGAAGGCAATGGATCGATACTTTCAAAACACTAAGAAAAAAAAAAAAATCTTCAAGAAACATCTACCCAGTTCATAAGCAACAGCAGCAGAAATCCTTTTATTATAAAACATTCCTCGTAATTCCACAGTGGTCCCCATACCATTAAAACTAAATTCATTCATTCATTCATCAACTGTATTGACTTATACTCTGTAAAAGTCATTAACTCTTCTTAGAACTGTAGAGATATGGGCTCCTGCAGTGGATGCTACAGAATCACGCATCTGATAAACACAGGTAAAACTGTTGACGTTAAGGGTTAGATTATTTGATTCTGGGTAAACTGCAAGGCCCCACTCTTCTCACAAGATTCAGAAAGAATAAAATCATTACTGATGGAATGAACCATCTCACGCTATCCCAGAGACTGAGATAAAGCTCAACCTTTGCAGTTCTGAGAACAGTGGGTGGATGAGCAGGAAGGAAGGAGTACCTCTATCTGCCTGCTTCTCTTTCCCTCCTGCCTCCTCTCCCAAACACAGGAGATCAGAAATCATACCAAAGAATCTTGTTTTGAACTCACTGTGCCAGGGAAACTGGATAAAGGCAAAGAGACTCCAATGGACAAAATGGACAAAAATGTGCCTTCCAAATCAATTCTGATGCCACATTTCAGAACCGAGACAGCCACAGAAGTCATTTTCAGCACCGCGCCAGCTGCTGCTGAACGGTTATGGGGCCCTGCAAGCTCCTGTCCCGGCTGCAACTCCCCCACCTGCAGCCTCACCTTGGCACCTTGATTCCCAGAACTGTCACACTGCCATCAGGCATCCAAACTATTCCCCACGCTAAAGTGGGACAGAATGGTGCCTTTTCCCAATACGATTAAAATCCCAATTCCGTGAATACAGTCATTAATGCTACTTATTTAAACCTTAAAATCCCCAACGAATAGATCAATTCAGTAAGTATTTACTGAATATCCACTACAACAAACCTGCAATAGGGTTTTACATCCAAAAGAATCTCTCTCTTCTTGGCCTAAAATGTTGGATTTCTTCCTTTATTCCAAACAAGTATAGCTTCCATATCAAGAAATTCCTGCCATCTGGTGTCAAAATTTGACACTGCACCGAGCAACCTCTATTTGGTATAGGCAAGCACCCTAGACTAAAAAATGTTCTATGTAGCAGTATTTAAAAATCCATTTGCCTGGGTGGCTCAGTCGTTAGGTGTCTGCCTTCGGCTCGGGTCATGATCCCAGAGTCCTGGGATCGAGCCCCACATCGGGCTCCCTGCTCAGCGGGAAGCCTGCTTCTCCTTCTCCCACTCCCCCTGCTTGTGTTCCTGCTCTATCTCTCTCTCTGTCAAATAAATAAATAAAATATTAAAAAAAAAATCCATTTGGACTAGGGCGCCTGGGTGGCTTAGTTGGTTAAGCGGCTGCCTTCAGCTCAGGTCATGATCCCGGGGTCCTGGGATGGAGCCCCACATCGGGCTCCCTGTTCGGCGGGAAGCCTGCTTCTCCCTCTCCCTCTGCTGTTCCCCCTGCTTGTGTGCTCTCTCTCTGTCAAATAAATAAATAAAATCTTAAAAAAAAATCCATTTGGACTAAAGGGTTACAAGAAAAGACCATTAATTTAAATGAATCTTAAATGAAGACTATTAAATGAAAACTGAAAGAATATGGGAAAGATGGGGCATTCTCCCATCTCCAGCAAATTGAGGAAAAACTGAAATACTGAAAATGATATATCCAAAACACATCTACACCAGCACCACCCCTGGTCAGCCTTTCAACTAATGCTGACCACACTCCTCCTAAGTGCTCAGCAAAATAGAAAGGGTGCAGACTGACGACACAAACAACTGAAAAAACGAAAACACAAACTAAGAATATAGAGACCTCTTTTAAGTTATATGGTACCTTTGCATTTTCCATAGTCCATGTACTTCAAGAGCTATGATGTGATAGATTTGGGGTTTTTTTTCATTATTTATGTAATAAGGCAAAGAGTGGTGTTCCATTCAACTATGATGACTCAACTTCAAACAAGACATTACTTTTTGATTTAACAGGGATTCTTTAGAGTCTTCAGCAAAGATTTACTACAAAATAGGAAGGCTGTGAGAACTAATGAGCACATGTCTACACAGCACATGGTAAAGGCAAGGAGAAAAGAGGAGTCATCCTTGATTCCTCCCTATCTCACCCCCATGCAATTATCAAGCTCAGTGAATTAATAAACTAATTATCTCTCTATCCCCACTACATTATCCTAGACAAAGTCACCATCACCTTTTCCTTGCCAGTAACTGGCAAACTACAGCCTACAGGCCAAATCTGGCCTGTCACCTGTTTTTGCAAGTAAAGTTTTATTGGCAAGACCATTCATTTATATATTGCCTTTGGCTATTTTCATGCTACAATGGCAGAACTGAGGAGATGTGACTGGCCCACCAAGTCTAAAACATTTATTACCTCTTTACAAATAAAGTTTGCCAAATTTGGCCTAAGTAGGCTATTAAATAATCCCCTAACTAGTCTCTCTAACACTCATTCAATTCACTCTCCAAACTGCACTCCGAGTGAAAAGTTTTAACGACACAAATTTGATCATTCACTCTTCTGCAAAGATAAACCCAAATTCCTTATGGTAACTCCTGTAACTTTTCCAACCTCCCATCTTGCCACTACCCTTTATGTTCCAGTTATTCTATTTTAATCTCTCCAAACTCACCTTGCTTTAGCCTTTGGGCTTTCAGCATATAATATTTCTCCCAATTGGGATACTCAACCTTTCTTTAGCTAACTCCAGGTCACCCTTCAGGGTCTCTATGTAAATGTCATTTTCTCCAGGAAGCCATTCCTGACCCCTTGGGCTGGAATTCAGTGGTCCTGCATTCCTTCATCACTGACCTTGTTATTAGACTCTAACACATTTTAATTGTCAGGCCAGATCAAGAGCCATATGAGGGCAGAGATAGGCTCTGTGCTGTTAACTATGATACCCTTGCAGTAACAGGGACTAGTATGTATGAGGTATTTATAAAATCTTGGTTCAAATTAATTTATCCTTTGCATCATGTTCTGAGAATTCAAAGAACTTTTTCTCAGAGATTTATCAAAAATAATCATACCACTTTAGGCAATGAAGATAAAGTAAGTCATGGATTACCATAGCAGAATAAGTTGATACCAAAATCTAAAAACCTAGAAATCTACAGAGAAAACTTCTAAGCCCAACTATTTACACCATATGCATTTTAGTATATTACTGGAAAAAACCTTGATCATCGGAGCTTACCATTCTAGACCATATATAATGAAAACAACAAAAATAATGAAACTAAAAAAAAGTATTCTCCTAATACCTGCTCTTCCCTCTCCTTTTCTTTGGTCTTACTTCTGTAGACTCTAGCAGAGGCGGCATCCTGGGTTGGAATGGCAGAGATCTGATGCAGTGGCATGCTCATCCCAGCCTCCTGTCTGGTTGTCTTCTTTACTGAAGAGAGTCTCCAGTGGTGGAGTCATTTTGGGCCATGGACCTCAAGCTGAGAGGGAGACGACAAGACATAACTGAGCTAAAACACTTCAAATTTCCAACAGTGACATTAGCATTTTATATTTATATTCGAAGCAGTTACAATGTCTGACATAAATACTCAGCATTCAAAAACAACAGAAGATAAACATTTTATGGGGGAAATTTTAACATTTTTCTCATGTAATAAGATGGGAACACCTAAAAGAGGCTATGGATCAGGTACACGTATAATCAGATATTAATTTTCCATTGGCCATTAGGTTTTAAACAGCAGTGCCATCCTTTATTTTAAGACTATTTCTGAAGTTAAATTTTTTTCTTGAAAAAGCACTCATTCTGATAGAAGTAGTGATCTTTCCTTAAAACCACTGCCCTTGAATTCACATAATGGTAGGATTAAAGGTTAAAAAGTCTAAAATAAATTTAAAATATCTATGATCTCTGCTTAACCTTCTGAAAGTCTAGACTCTCTAGACCAGGTGTTGGCAAACTTTTCCTATAAAGGGCCAGAGAATAAATATTTTAGGCATTGTGGGCCATATTTTTTTTTCCAAATTACTCAAATCTGCTGTTGTAGTGTGAAAGCAGCCACAGTAAGTGTGAAAATGAATGAGAATGGTTATGTTCCAATAAAACTTTACTTACAAAAACAGGTGGCAGGCTAGATTTGGCCCAAAGCCTATAGTGCTAACCCTGTTCTAAGGAACTTTCCAGGGAAGATGAGGGTCATCCTGGATATTCCTGGGATCCTAAGAAGGCTGCCCTTAGGTAAAATAATAGTTTCTAAATAAGTGATTCTAGGCCCACCTGCCTTTTTTCTGGTTTTCTCCTACATTCCTCCAAAGTCCCTGGTAACTGGATTGTGTGTTTTCTATCCCCCCACCCTGTCCCCACTGAAATTTATCAAACTCTGTATACAAAACCAATTATATACCCAAATTATCCATAAGGTTTAATGTAGCAATGTTTCATGCTATTTGAATTTTAACAAAGGATGGAAGCATTAAACCAAAGAATGAATCTCTAATTTGGGGATTTTCACTTACTAACCATGTATTGGAGGGTGGGACAATAGGCAGGGAGTGTAAACAACAAGGCCTAACAACTCTGAGGTCATGTTTGATGAGTAGCCATTTGTTCTGCCCAACCCTAAGGTCACATCTGAAGAGCAGCCAACTATTCCACCTCTCCCCAAACTCTGCTCTGGACTGAAAGTAGGTGTTTGTGTGGCTGGCCCCACCTCTGGCAGTATTACTAACCAAACCAATGAGCAACAGAACTCATAGAATTAATTTCTTTCATCAGATTCTCTGATCAACAAACAACAAGAAGGAATAAGAAACTAGAAGGGATCAACACTATGAGAAAATGAACGAAAAGAATACTGTTTTTAAAAGTTTAGTGTTATAAAAGGTGGATGATCATTGATAACCAATAAAACAGGAAAATACAGGTGATATTAATATCTAAATACTACAATCAATAATAAAATGTTAGTGTCTACATACTATACATAATCTACTCTATCTTAAGCCTTTGATGATGCTGACACAAGATGGAGCACTGTGAAAGGGCGCCTGGGTGGCTCAGTTGGTTGAGCAACTGCCTTCGGCTCAGGTCATGATCCTGGAGTCCTGGGATCGAGTCCCGCATCGGGCTCCCTGCTTGGCGGGGAGTCTGTTTCTCCCTCTGACCCTCTTCCCTCTGTGCTCTCTGTCTCTCATTCTCTCTATCTCAAATAAATAAATAAAATCTTTAAAAAAAAAAAAAAAAGATGGAGCACTGTGCCCAACAAACGGTCTGAATATTTATGTTCACATTACACAAGACAAGAGGCACTTACTACTTCGTTGTCGTATACTGTCTGGGAGATCACAATAGTCACTGGGGAGCAGTTTTTTCATCACTCATGCATCAAAGTTCTCTGCCCCAGATGGCAAATTCCATGTGGGTTCTTGGAATACTTATTCAACCTAACCATGTCCAGAGCCCCTACTACACATCATACCAATAGCTGCCTTTGGTGCTTCTAGTATAATAATCATTATTACATCATTGGTACATGACCATGACAAGCCTGAAGAGGACTATTTATGACAGAGAAACACAAATGTGAGAGAGGGTTTTAAATATTTTGTAGAATTTTGAAGGACCGCCCCTCCTTACAGCCATTTAAGCTACTATTCTGATATGAACCCTTATCTCCAGGTAACAGACCTGAAAGTCTGCCTGAAGCAATTCCACTCCTATGCCATATTTAGGATAAAAATGATAATCTTAAAAACCAAAATGCAAAACAGACCATGCCACTTTTTATGTGAAGGTTCGTGTGAAAAGCATAAAGCAGGTATTAGTCATACTATTTTCTTTGCATGATTTCCAAATATCTGTTTTATATCAATTCATCTGTAATGAAGAGCAATAGTTAAACCTCTGCACTATGACTGACAATCCAGGCATGAGGACTTCAATTCCACTACTGCTAAAAATACAACACAACTGAACATCCATATCTAGAGGAAGTAGACAAACTGCCTGTATTAAGAGTACGGAAATGGGGGCACCTGGCTGGCTCAGTCGGTGGAGTATGCAACTCTTGATCTCGCGGTCATGAGTTTGAGCCCCATGTTGCATGTAGAGACTAGTTAAAAAAATAAAATCTTAAAAAAAAAAAAAACACCAAAAAGGGGGGGGTAATATGGAAACAGATATGCCATGTCAATGGCTCAGAAGACTTACTGTTGTGAAGGTGGCAATTCTTCCAAAACTGATATACACATAAAGCAATCCCTATCAAAAATTCAGCTGACTTCTAGGCAGAAAGTAGACAAGCTGATCCTAGAATTCATATGGAAATTAGAGGGACCCATGATACTCAAAACAATCTTGAAAAAGAACAAAGTTGGAGAACTCACACTTCCCAATTTCAAAACTTACTACAAAGAATAGTAATCAAGACATATGAAACTGGAATATGGATAGATATACAGATTAACAGAACAGAATTTAGAGTCAAAAATAAGCCCATGTATCTATGGTCAATTGGTTTTTCAACAAGGGTTCCAAGACTATTCACTGGGGAAAGAACAGTCTTTTCAACATGCAAAAGAATCAATTTAGATTCCTATATCACACAAATAAAAAATAAACAAACTAAACATCACCAAAATAAAAACGTTTGTGCTTCAAAAGACATCATCAAGAAAATGAAAAGACAACCACAGAACACAAAAAAATCATTTTGAAAAACATACAATAAGGGACTTGTATGTTGAATATATATAAGGGGCTGTCACAACTCAACAATAAATAGACAAATAGCCCGATGAAAAATGCATTGTTCAAGAGACTCAATTATACAGATTACCAGAGGAGAGGGAGGTGGGAGGATGGGTCAAATAGGTGACAGGGATTAAGGAGCGCACTTGTGGAGATGAGCACAGGGTGAATTACTGTGTTGAATTACTATATTATATACCTGAAACTAACATAACATTGTTAACTAACTGGAATTAAAAACTTTTAAAAAAGGAAAAATGGGTTGTTCAACATCATTAGCCAACAGGAGAATGCAAGTCAAAACCATGAGATACACTTCAATTATGGCTATATTTAAAGACAGGTAAGTCAATGGGGAGGGTATGTGCTATGGTGAGCGCTGTTAATTGTGTAAGACTGTTGAATCACAGACCTGTAACCTCCGAAACAAATAATACATTATGTGTTAAAAAAAAAAAAAAAAGAAGAAGGAGAAGATAGCAGGAAGGGGAAAATGAAGGGGAGGAAATTGGAGGGGAAGACGAACCATGAGAGACGATGGACTCTGAGAAACAAACTGAGGGTTCTAGAGGGGAGGGTGGTGGGAGGATGGGTTAGCCTGGTGATGGGTATTAAAGAGGGCACGTTCTGCGTGGAGCACTGGGTGTTATACGCAAACAATGAATCATAGATCACTACATCAAAAACTAATGATGTAATGTATGGTGATTAACATAATAAAAAAAATAAAGACAGATAAGTGTTGGCAAGGATGTGGAGAATCTGAAACCCTCAGACAGTGCTGGTGGAACTATATGCAGCCACTTTGGAAAACAGTCTGGATCTTCCTTAAAATGTGGAAATAACACAAATGTCCATAAATTAATGAATGGATAAATAAAACATGTCTGTATAATGGAATATTATTTAGCAACAAAAAGGAATGAAATATGAATACGTGCTACAACATGGATGAAACTTGAAAGCATTACACAAAGTGAAAGGACCAAATATTGTATGATTACATTTGTATGAAATGTCCAGAGCAAGCAAATCATAGAAACAGAAATTAGATTACTGGTTGCCAAAGACTAGGGTAGGGATCGAGGATGGGGGCTGATGGCTAAACCGGTTTCTTTCTGGAGTAATAAATATGTTCTAAAATTTATTATGGTCACGTTGCATAACTCTTAAGCATACTAAAAGCCATAGAATTAGGGGCACCTGGGTGGCTCAGTCGGTTAAGCATCTGCCTTCGGCTCAGGTCATGATCCCAGGGTCCTGGGATCGAGCCCCACATCAGGCTCCTTGCTCAGCGGGGAGCCTGCTTCTCCCTCTCCCTCTGCCTGCCGCTCCCCCTGCTTGTGCTCTCTCTCTCTCACTATCTCTCTCTCTGTGTCAAATAAATAAAATCTTTAAAAGAAAAAAAGCCATAGAATTATATACTTTAAATGAGTAGATTGTAACGAATGTGAATTATATCTCAATAAAGCTGCTTTTAAAAAGAATATATAAATAATTACTATGAATTAAGATAGAGAAAACTGACCCTCAACTCTATGGTCAACTTATTTTTGACAAAGCAGGAAAGACTATCCAATGGAAAAAAGACAGTCTCTTCAACAAATGGTGGTGGGAAAATTGGACAGCCACATGCAGAAGAATGAAACTAGACCATTTCCTTACACCATACACAAAAATAGACTCAAAATGGATGAAAGACCTCAATGTGAGACAGGAATCCATTAAAATCCTAGAGAACACAGGCAGCAACCTTTGTGACCTTGGCTGCAGCAACTTCTTGCTAGACATGTCTCTAACGGCAAGGGAAACAAGGTAAAAATGAACTATTGGGACTTAGTCAAGAAAAAGGCTTTTGCACAGCAAAGGAAACAGTCAACAAAACCAAAAGACAACTGACAGAATGGGAGAAGATATTTGCCAATGACATATCAGATAAAGGGCTAGTATCCAAAATCTATAAAGAACTTATCAAACACCCAAAGAACAAATAATCCAATCAAGAAATAAGAAGACATGAACAGACATTCTCCAAAGAAGACACACAAATGACCAACAGACACATGAAAAAATGTTCCACATCATTTGGCATCAGGGAAATACAAATCAAAACCACAATGAGATACCACCTCACACCAGTCAGAATGGCTAAAATTAACAAGTCAGGAAATGACAGATGTTGGCAAGGATGCGGAGAAAGGGATACCCTCCTACGCTGTTGGTGGGAATGCGAGCTGGTGCAGCCACTCTGGAAAACAGTATGGAGGTTCCTCCAAAAGTTGAAAATAGAGCTAACCTATGACCCAGCAATTACACTACTAGGGATTAACCCCAAAGATACAAATGTAGTGATCCAAAGGGGCACCTGCACCCCAATGTTTATAGCAGGAATGTCCACAATAGCCAAACTATGGAAAGAGCCCTGATGTTCATCAACAGATGAATGGATAAAGATGTGGTACAATGGAATACTACTCAGCCATCAAAAAAATGAAATCTTGCCATTTGCAATGAAGTAGATAGAACCAGAGGGTATTACGCTAAGCGAAATAAGTCAATCAGAGAAAGACAATTATTGTATGACTTCACTAATGTGGAATTTAAGAAACAAAACAGAGGATCATAGGAGGAGAGGGGAAAAAAAAAAAACCAAAATCAGAGAACCATAAGAGACTCTTAATCATAGGAAACAAACTGAGGGTTGCTGAAGGGGTGGGGTTTGGGGGAATGGGGTAACTAGCTGATGTAATGAGCACTGGGTATTATATAAGACTGACGAATGGTCAGATGGTCAGTGGACCTCTACCCCTGAAACTAATAATACATTAATGTTAATTGAATTTTTAAAAAAAGATAGATAAAACTGTTTTCCTTCGTGCTATCCCTATGTAATTTACCCAACGATATGGAGATAGCCACTGTTATCCTATCGCTTTTTGGTTTTGAGAAAGATAACAGGAAGAGTGCAAAATCAGCAATCAGAAATCTAAGTTCAAGCCTTGACTCTTGAATACAGTGTGATGTTGGACAAACAGGAATTTCAAAGGCTCTGTCTCCTTCATCTGTAAAACAGAAAGGTAATAATCTCTATTGCATTCACAGGGTTATTATAAAGACCAAAGAAGATTGTGTCCATGTGCACAAACGTCAGCACATTTTCCAGCCTGCTTTTTCAGGCATCTGCAATGATTCCCCTCACTGCCTCACAAGGGCCAGTTCATTTGCTTTGTCTTTCCAGTACTATTTTCTGTCTTCCTACACCTCATTCTGATACAAGATTTACACAACTGAGAACTTCAAATCCTTTCTGACATTTATTTAGGATCTCTAGCAGCATGACTCTGAGGGGAAACAAGGCTGACAATGCTATCCCTACAAGGGGAGAAGTAGGAAGGCCTGATCCTGAAGACGATCAGCATGGCATAATAATCGAGCTATTCTATGTGCTTTCCAAATGGTCAAGATAAATTGAAGATTCTACCCATTCCAACAATGATGCTTGGGACAAATAGAGACAACAAAGAGGCAGCCAGGAGAAGACAAAGATGCCAGTCACAGCTTCCCTGAGGGACAGTCAACACAGGTCTGCATACCTCCCTGCACCCCTCCTTACAGGGTGCCAGGCTCCAACAGCGGCCTGCTCCTACCCATTGTGTGGTGGTGAATACTAACATCCTGAATGGCACTCAGAATAAACAACTTTAAGTTAAGCCTGTTTTTATCAGAAGCACATTTCATACAAAAAAATGA